CCAAATCTTTGATTGACCTAAAGGCATAGTTTTCTTCTGCATCGGGCTCTAGCTCGTGAGGAATTATTCCTGCGAAGGGGTTGGAGCAAATCCAATCCATTGACTATAAAGTGTAATGGTGGTAACTGGTATTAGGGCACTACATTCTATCTTTGCGGCGTGCTTTTGACCGGTGACATGAAATAACTTTCATTATAAAGCCGTAACTGGTAATTGTGCATAGCAGTTGTTTTCCCATCGTAATTCTACTGATACGGCTACGCATTTCATTAGGTAAACAACTTCTCCACCTACTTTTGCAACGTAACCCAAGGTATTTTTTACTACATGAGCCAGGGTATTCTGGGATAATGTTACTGAAATCAGTCGTTTTTCCAAAATTTTTCTATGGAGAAGAAATCGCCGATAAACTATTTGTGCAAACATGGCGCTCATACTTCGTTTATAAGATTGTTCGACATAAAATAACAAATAACTTATAGTATTGACATAGGTTATCAAATCAGCGTACGAAGGTGTTCTGAAGTGTGAAAAAAATTGTTGATTGATGCATTGATTGCGTTTTTACTACAACTTATCGTGGGTGTTCACTTTGCCATGTTTTTGTACCATACGATTGAATTTTTCGCAAAAGTTAACCCGTTTGCTGATACTTGCAAGAAAAAGCAATTTCTTAGTGGCTGAGTGTGTTTCGTGTACAATAGTAGCAGTTCCTTCGTAACTGTGGTGATAACAATCTTTTTGTTCTGTAACAGCCCACGTCGATATTCCAAAAGCACTGTCAGTAGAAGGACACTGCTTTTAGGTAAGAGCGCTTTATTCTATTACGGAGATGCACTACGTTGGTATCGAGACAAACTTTAGCATGATAGTTTTGCAATGTTATTTTGATGTCTGTTCAGACTATTACATCACTCCATAGTCTTCCCTTCCATCTTCGTGATAAGTGGTTCCTTCATCATGCCGCAATGATTTAGGACTCTCGTTATGTAGGTATATAGGTATTCTCTTTTATTCTTTTCTGAGTTCTCACTTGATTTTTCCTCAAAGATACTTCTTCGTGTTCCACTTCTACGCTTTCATATTCTTCTTCTGAGGTTTCACTTTCGCTACTTTCACTCTCTCTTTCGCGGTGTATTAGCGGAAATTCTACAATCTCGCATCCTCTCGTCAGCAAATCGTCTTCTATTTCATGTATTTCTTCATTTTCTCGCATTTCTCTATTATCTTCCTCTTTTCCAAAATTCAGATAAGGACTTTCTATAGTTTCTCCTAGTACTTTACATAGTTTAAATCTATGTGCATGCAGGATTTGTTCTTTGTTTCCATATAATTTCTAAAGCTTAAAGGTGCAACGCAACAGCACCCCATGCATGTACATGGGGTGCACATAAGCCTATTTTCGTGAAACACTTTATATGTGCAAAAAACAGCACATCATAATTGGCTAAAATTTGGCCTTAACACTATTTGATCGATTATCTAAAGATTCGTGGAGTGGTAGTTTTTCTATATTGTCATTTTTTTTTTGTACGAAAAAAACACAGGCTATCTCTTTGGTTGCCTATCTATTGAAAAAGTTCTTGCTGTGGATTATTTCTCAGAAATAGAAATAACCACGCTAAAAATTGGAAAAAATAACTCCATGAATCTTCAGATTTTAGATAATCGATTAGAGAATGTTTATGCCAAATTTCAGCCAATTCTGATGAGCCATTTTTTTTGCACCTTGAAAGCGATTCACGAAAATCGGTTTGCTGGGAATTTAGCATTAGAACTAGGAAATAAATAGTCTGAGAAACAAGCATATTTGTATGAAAGGCATTATTTAGAGAATTGTTATTTGTGCCATTATGTGCATTCGACGAAATCCTAAGATTTAATTTGTCTAAGACATCAAAGTATTGTTGTTCAAATTCTTCAGACTTATTTTCTTGATCAGGATCCAATAAAAGCAACTGAATCTAATTGCTTTGGAAGGTTTCAAATTATGATTTTAAACATTCTTTTCTAGTTTCTAGTTGTTGACTGAGAAAGGCCGTCAAAGGCGGAGGTGTTCAAACATAAATCTATTGATTCTTGTCATACCAGCCCTTAATTGGGTTATAGACATATATATCTAGCAATTTCCTTTTTTAACATTTTTTATCGTTATTATATTGCACAAAAATTAACTAAGCTTGTAGGAACGCTTGTAGATAGCAACCTTAATCAACGATAATTAAAAATGCATTCAAACATTCACCTATTAGGTATGCTGCGGCAAATAAAAACAAACCCACAACTTGAACAGGTGATTGAACATGAAAATTTGATCGAAAATGCAAGAATGGGCGTGCACGCGCACTTGTTGGTATAATGTACAATGTTGTCTCGTCTTGCACTTGCACGTGGTACACAATAATTGTTTTTGTTTCACAATGGATCACTATCCTGCGTTTTAACTGTTGCACTGGGGATATCCAACTCGAAAGACCATTAGGGAGGAATTTGCCTTCCTTCGTGCTTCTCTAGCTTGTTGGTGCAGGTGGAAGAGAGATTGTTTGTGTGTCTGATATACGCCACATTCGCATATTATTGTTTTTATGGCTAATTATTATAAAACATTGTACAAAACCAACAAGACGTGAGCAAAGAAAAATGATGATACAAAGGATGAAAAATGACTTATGACTGGCAAAATTATTTACAATTCATCTGACATTTGTCAGGAATGAATAAATGTCATTAATTGTTGTGTTGGAGGTTGTCTCCAAGAATTTCTTTTAAGTACCTATATGACCTATAACTTTATGGTCCCAGATATCGTGACCCTCCAAAACTGGAATTCAATTTAGATCGAAGCTTTTTGTGCAGTGGTACGAGTTGCACTTTCTCGTTTTACAGACACTTTATAGGGCAACCTTCCAAATGATGGATGGACGATATCAAAGAGAGATCAAGCATAAACTGGTATCAAAACGCAAGAGAACCCTAAATGAACATTTAGAGGTTTAGGTCCAGGGGTCGTATTTTCGAATATTCTCGCATACGAAATTGGATACCGTTTCGAATGCTCCCCATTTAATTTACATTGCTGTCAGTCAAATTTCATGTACGAAATGTACTCGAATGAATTCGAAAATAACTAGAGTCTAGCCGTCACAGCCGGAGCAAACCCGATAATAGCCGAACAGCAAACTCTAGAGCATAGAAAATCGAGAACAGAATTTAATTGTTATTTCTATCGTGTCTTTAACCATTCTTATTTTTATCAAAACAAAATTACAAGTCCATTTTACAAAAAATAATTATTTGTAAAAATATTTCATTTTCTGTAGTTCGGATTTAGGATAGTAAGTAATATAGTAAAAACAAACAAAAAGTCCTTTTTTGGTTTATTTTTGTCCTACCTATATTTTATTATTTCTAGAGAGGTATCAGCCGGCGAATTATCGCGTTCGAATATTTCGGATGATCCAGAAAAAGAAATTCGATTCAATCTTAATGAACGTTAATAATGTGGAAAGTTATAAGGCGCTAGGGCGGTAGATCAGACTGCCTATAAACCCAGTATTGAGCACTTTAAAACGAAAACAAAATGAACCACTCATCCAAACTACTCCCCTTGCCTACAAATGAGCGAAAAAAGGTACCAATTACTCCACAGAGGAAATGATTAATATTGATTACTTATATAAATTTATTTTTGTTGTTGGGTTCCTTCTAATTTACAATTTAACGAGTTCTTAATAAATATCAACATTTTTTGTTTTTTTTTAGCAGTGTATTACATTGCTCCAGTCAACAACCTTTTGCTGCAACCGAATATACACCTTCCTTCGAATTCAATGCGCTCGGCTCGGCTTTCGGCTACAATCGTAGTTGCTCCACATGTGATGGCTAGACTCTAGTAAAAATACGACCCCTGGAGTGGACAGTTGAGGGCTGATGGAGAAAAAAATCGTTGGAAAAAAAATGAGATTAATCTTTAAAAGATATTTCTTCTAGGCCCACGATCATGCCAATCTTTATATACCTACCCAGTAACAAACCGAGTAACAAACCAATATCTATCCAAAAACATTAAAGGTCTCAAACGTTCAATCAGTGAGTAAAAGGGGGATGTGTGTCAAATGGAAAATTACTGGCCAGTTATGCCGTGCCACGCGCATTCTCGAAAATTTTGGTGAGATATATCCTGTAAAAAAAAGCCTCACTTTCAAATTCACCCTGTATAAGACAATGTATTGTGCTGCCAGCGAGAATTGAACCGCCGGAAAATATGCGAGTCAAGTTGTCTATCTCTCTCTAGATTCATTGCAACTGTGTATTTCAACATTGTTATGTCATCGATGTGATTTTAAGGTAATCAAAATCATAGACGCCGGAACCATAGGAGCAATGGGGGTTTCAGCCCCCATAGTGGTTTTGGTATTGTGTAGTGGGTAGGTACAGAAATATTGAGTTCCTAATTTTCTTTTTTTATACCAAACTTGTGTGTTTTATGTTTTTGTTATTTTTGCTACATCTACTTTAACAAACAGTTCGAATATTTTGTTGTGTAGTATTTAAACTTGTGTTTTGAATAAGTCGTGGTGGGATTATTATTTCCTCTCCGTTTGTTTTCATGATAGGTATGTTTACGTCACATGAATATATCATGATGTACCAATACACTGGCTTTTTTTACCTAGTTTATTATGGAAAATTTATGTACAGACTGGACCAACCTATTAGAGACATAGGCAGTAAGTAATAAGACGAATTAGCTTGTACCCGGTTAAAGCCGCGTACAGGCCGAATTTCCAAACGGAGACCAACGCCAACGGCACATGTGCTGTCGTTGGCGTTGGAATTTGAAAGCATTGAAAAGGATTTGAGAACATCGTCCACACCAAAGCCAACGCGTTCCAACATAGTTCACATGTGCCGTTGGCTAGCGTTGGAAATTCGGTCTGTACGCGTCTTAAGGCGAATCGAATCGGTGCAAGTACAAAAATATCATGACATAAACTTACTGTGCGAAATTTCCAAAGCTTTCTTAGCTGCGTTCATTTCAGCTTGCTGAATACTGTGTCCCATCTCGCCCGCTAAACGTTTCCCTCTAAAGTAAACTGCGACTGTATAAACCCTAGTATTAGTTGGTCCTTTGCACTCTATAACTCTAGAGAATATTAATCAATTTTAGGAAGGTTTATGCCTACTTTTGTTGCCAATAAACTACTGAGCGAGACTGGTCTTGGTCTTCCAGAAAAAGCAAGCCCAAGACCAAGATCTTTTATTAGACTGCAAGACCAAGACCAAGACCGAGCAGTGCAAGACTTATGCAAGACCAAGACCTTAGTATTGCAAGACTTACGCAAGACCAAGACCAAAGCTGGGCAGAAAAGAGTTTATCCGTTATCCGTTTATTAATGAAGTTTTAAAAAATTGCCTAAATTTAACTTTTACGTTAACCTAAAAAATTTCTAACGGTTTTCTTACCTTCAGTTACATTGAACTTCCGTTTTAGTCTGTTACGTTCGTTAATGACGTCATTTTGTTTGCTTGAATTGCGCGCCAAGGTCAACCGTGACAGTTCACATAGGCGCAAAAAGAATTTTGCACTGTGTTTTTTTCAGAACCGATTCCCAATTTTCAGTTCGCTCTTTGGGTTTCTGAACTACGCAGTTTTGAACTGTTCTGGAATTATTCTAGCTTTGTTTTGGTTTCACTCAGAATTAGTTTGGAATAATTCTGCACAAGCGCATGCTATAAAAAGTGTTTTCGTTTTTTCAGAATCGTAATCGAACTATGTCGACAGCGATTTGGATTATTTAAAACTATACAGGGTGGTCCATTTAACTTGAGACAGTCTAATATCTCAAAAACGGTGCGTTTTTGAAAAAAAAAGTTTGAACAAGTGTTACATGGTATCATGGGGGAAACAGAATGGGGGCACTGATTTTTGACATTGACAACATTTTCAAGGTTATTTCAAGGTCAACTTTTTTTTTACTATAGAAACATACTTTTTTTATTACAGAATCTTATTCTACGGAAAAAAACAAGTAACTTTTACTTGAAGAATTTTTCGATCCGGTTTCAATTTAAGCTGATAAAAAAGAACGAATCAATTTTTTTTATTTTCCTTCTCACAAAATCTAAAGTAGAGAAAGGTTACCATAGTAAAAAACTACCTCAAAAACTATAACAATTGTTCAAAGTGATGCTCGCCAACTTCAACCCACTTGTCAATTCGCTGTAAAAAGCTTTCTTGGTACCAAATTAGAGTTTCCTTACTGACAGCTCTAAGCATTTCTTATGCGTTCCATCATATTTCCGGTGTTGTGGGAACCTCTTGATAAACTGTCTTTTTGATTTTTAAAGTGAATTGACAAGTGTGTTGAAGTTGACGGTCATCATTTTGAACATTTTATATATTTTTTTTAGTATGGTAACCTTTCTCTACTTTTCAATTTTGTGAGGAGGAAAAAGAATCAATGATTCGTTCTTTTTTATCAGCTTAAATTGAAACCGGATCGAAAAATGCTTCAAGTAAAAGTTACTTGCTTTTTTCTGTAGAATAAGATTCTGTAATAAAAAAATACGTTTCTATTGAAAAAAAAAGAGTTTTCAAAGTCAAAAATCAGTGCCACCATTTTGTTTCCCCCATGATATCATGTAACTTTTGTTAGAACTTTTTTTTTCAAAAACACACAGTTTTCGAGATATTAGACCGTCTAAATGGACCACTCTGTATAAGAACAATTCTTGAGTTGTTTTGGAACGGTTCTCTCAGTTCTCCCTCTGAAGTAGGAACTGTTTTGGAATGTTGTGATTTGCGGCTTGATTTGGTTTTTTGGTTCAGAATCGGTTCAGAATAACTATTAGAACAGTCCCCCATTATTTTTTGTGCGTAAGCAGTTCTGCGCAATCCCAGCACCGTTCCCAATTTCGACACAAAACAAAGCTACTGACTTAATATTGAAAAACCAAAATTTTGATACTGGAATATACTGCCCCTCTCTTTAAACCTTTACTTACTTTAAAAACTATTCTTTTTTTTGTGAATATTACCTCCAATAAAAATCTACCATGTAAATGCAAGACTTGCAAGAGTCTTGGTGCAAGACCAAGACTGGACCCTGCAAGATCAAGACCAAGACCACTTATAAGACTGCAAGACCAAGACCGCATGCAAGACCAAGACTAACCAGGTCTTGTATATACAATAAACGAACTTACTTGTATACAGGAATGTCAGGTTCCCCGCCGTCCATTGTCCTCAATGTCAAACAGCATTGCTGCAGCTTAGATTTCGGATCATTCCAATCTTGATTCATAATAAAATCTTGTAAACGCGGAAATAAAGTTACGTGGCAAAAAACTTCGCAGTATTCCATTCCCTAAAAAATGTAATTTTATACTAAGCCAATTCATACAATTGGACAAAATAAAAATAATCATTTTGAATATTATTGGGGAATTTAAGGTCAATAAACGTAACATGAAGAATAATATATCTTCACATTACATTTACATTGGCAACGGAAATTTAGATGAAGAGATAGTTTAATTCAATACCGTTAGGGGTATTTGCCCTCGAAGTACATAGTTGTTTTTAGCTGCTCAACGAAGTTCATACCTAATTATCCGTCTATAACGTTCCGATCTCTGTCATCCTCCTCCAAGTCTCCGTCTCTCTTTTCCTCGTCTACTCCACTTCCCCAGCTTCTTCGCCGTCTGCCGCGTCCTCTTCTTCCTCCTGGCTTCCTCTCAATCATTTGGTTCGGTATTCTCGTATCTGCCATTCTTTGTAAATGTCTGGACACTCTGAACCAAATCAGTTGTTTGTCTTTGATTTTATATACTATTGTGGGTCTCACGTTCCTAATTTCTCTAATTCGCTGGTTTTGATCCTCCCCATTTTTGACCTGCTTACCAATCTCCTAGTAGGTATATTCCGATATTTAATTGCTTCGTCTAGGGTTCTGAAGCGAGATATTCATTCCTAAATATTTAGATTCAGTGCATTGTTTTATTTCATGCCCGTTATTCAATCTCAGGTGTCATCGTTTTCGTCCTATGGTCATATATTCTGTTTTCGTCAAATTTCTTACCAAACCCCGGTTCTGGTATGAATTTACGTGACATGTACCATAGGTCATCATAATCCTGTGCAATTAATACTTATGGTCATCTGCAAAGCTTATTGAGAGCTTATTGAGAGTATATAAATTATATTCATTGAGCGATTATATTCATGTGTCTGCATTTCTTCTTCCACTCCCTAAAAGTGCCTTTTCCAAGTAGGTATATTTTAAAAAGTGTTGGTGACATGCAGCATTCCTGTTCCAGTCCTTTAGTTCTTTATAGCAACCTTTGCTGATTATGCTACCCTGTTTAATTTTGATTCTTACGTCACTATAGAGCCGTTCAACTGCTTTATTGATTCTAAGTTAATGTTGGCTTGTTCTACTGCTTCCCATAGCTTTTTTAGTGAAATATTGTCATACGGTTCTTGTATATCCACAAAGAGTAAAAATTCTTCTTCATACGCTAGTTTCTTTTCACCTGAGTCAAACTAAATAAGTGGTGTACTGTTGACCTTTCTGCTCTAAAACCGGCCTGTTCTTCTGCCTGACCATCGTTGTACTCGTCTTCTATTTTGGTTTTTATGACTTGCATACTCTGCTCAACGTATTTGTCACTGCAATGCCTTGGAACTTTTCGCGATTGTTTCTGTCTCCTTTCTTTTAATATATCGATGTATAAGTAGCTTATTTTCTACTCTTCCGGTAGGTAGTTCATATCTATCCATGCATGTTTGGAGTAGTTTTGCTGGTATTTGTGAATTTCATTGCTCCCATATACTTTATAAGTTCTCCATATATTTCTCCTCGGCCTGGCGCTCTACCATTTTACAAGAACTACACTGTTTACACACTTCTGCCCTTTTAACTCTTATTGGTGATCCTGCTACTTCAAACTCATCCGTTGCTCCGTCAATAATTCTTCCATTGCATTGCTGGGGTGTTACCGTGGTAATAAATAATAGTTCCGTTTCTGCAGAAATCACAAACCAGTCAGAGTGAATTTCACTGACTGTTTTCAACCAATGAAATTCGCTCGGACTGGTTTGTGATTTCTGCAGAATCAGACCTAATATTTTTGGTTTTTGTCGACTTGATGTTTTTCAGTATCAATATGCATGCAATATCTTTCCCATGACTGTTTTTTTTTCTGTACTATTTTATTCCGTACTCTTGCTTGTGCCTCTTTATATTTTTCTTTGTCTCTTTTTCTATTTGAACTTAGCTACTGTTGGTGTATCTTCCTTTTGTCTGCTATTTCTTCATCCCGCCAATAGCGTTTTTGTGCTCTTTAATTTTTTTCGTATTTGCCTACTTTGAATACTTTCTTAGATATGCTGGTAATGCATAAAATGCATTTCAAGGTTTTGAGATTTGGAAGATCAGACTTCTCTGTAATTTCTGTTCCAACCTTTCCATGTATAGGGTTTTAGGTTGAATTTCTAAGCCCCAATTTTGTCTTCTTGTTTTTCTTTTCCGTTGTCCCTTGCCACGTTTCTCCAAGAGATTTTTTTCAGCAGGTTTTGGCCATTACCACAGATCGCTCCTCTATACGCCGTCACATCCTGGAATTGTATGTTTGATTTCTGTTTTACAATAGTGTAGTCAACGATTTCTGTTATCTAGTTTCATTTTTCCACATGTATTTATATATTTCTTTATGCTGAAAATATCCATTCAGATTTTCTAGGTTATTTTGTTGAATATTGCTATCACCCTTGCTCCATTTTTATTTGTTACATTCTCTCCAAATTTTCCTACTAGCTTATCGTTGCTATTCGTCCATTAAAGTCTTCCAGCAATATTATTTTGGGGTGCTAGGCATTCCAGCCTCTTGCAGAAGTGGGCAGGGCATTCACAGATCAAATTCTCTGTAGTTTCTGTTGGTTGTTTGCAAAATCGACAGTGGTCGTTGGTCGTTGTCTACTTTGCCTATTGTTTTAAGGTGATATTTCACCAAGAAGTACCCACTGAGCAGACCTTGGACTGTTCTAATGTTCCTTCTAATCCTTGAACCATGTTGCAATACTCATTGTCGTTTTCGTTGCCTAGTTCGTTTCCGTCTCCGTTTTTCGGTACTGATCCGCTGCTGGCAATTGAGTTACTTTGGGTTAGTTTCTTATTCAAACTAATCACAAATATCTACTTTCTTCAGGCACAATAAAAATTCTCCCGTTAGAAACGAATTGTTAATTTAGTCAATAAGAACACAAACTGCCTCCACAGGCAAGTAGTCCAATATCTCGATAGATACATCATCAAACCCAGTTTGTTCTTTATAGTTTGCTTGACCAAATATATTATGCATGTAATCAATATTGGTGAAAGTTATACAGCAATGTTCCAGAAACCACACGTTGGTGAGATAATCAACAGAATCTATACGATAAGATAGTTTTGATGTTAACGGCCTAGAGCAGAAAAATTGGTTGGAAAAGTAACCCTGGAATGCAGAGGGTTATTTTTCCAACTAAAGGTGTTGATTATGCACCAATGCTCTCGGATTTGTTTCTTGCTCCCGATATTCGTTAAATATATTGTTCTTTGACACGGTTAATCACCTGTCAGTATATAAATCGGTACCAGTTATTATCTGACAGTAAAGTTATCTATATCATTACGCCAACGTCAAACGTTGAGCTCAGTCCTTGAAGGTCTTCAAGGACGACATACGTCAAATTTGTTCACTTTAAATGTCAAATTAATATAAGATCACTTGGAACACATTACACTGCTCGGAAGATAGATAGACGCTAGTGTACGTGAGCAGAAAGTCCAGACAGATCAAGTCGGTTATCTGTATTTATTTAGGCTCCTACTTCATGTAGGTATGCAATAATTTCATTCATAATATTGAACAACAAATAATATAAAAATTAGAATATCTATTAGTGCAAATAATTATAAATAAAATCATGCTCTGGCGCTAATTCCCGCACTTGTGGTCGTTGACGCTGTTATGTAGCGAGCAGGAAACGCAAAATTGATTGCAAGAACATAAACGCGTAGGATGACGCTGAATCCTCTAGCGAGAAAAAAACGATCAAATTACCCCATATACAAATCGTTTCAGTCCTAGGTATATGATGAATTACTTCTGTGTCAAGTGTCAATAAAGTTCGAATTAAGACCGCTTGAAGATAAAATATATTATCTAGATTGAAAAAAAATATATAGTAGGTATAGGGGACCTTTTTGTAGCTGAGTTTCTGACACTGTTAATACAAGTGTATTCATCTCCGGGTTTTGTTTCATGAAAAATCATTCCAGTGTTCCGCTCAAGTCACTCTCAATTATCTTAGTTTTCTTGCTATCTTTCTTCATTTTTTCATTTAATTTTGTCCATCACTCATATCCCTTTCACTGCCTTTATTTCTTTCTATATTTTCTATTTTTTGCCTGATTTTTTCATTCGCAAACTTGTACTGTGCCAGTTTCTCGCTATTTATTTTTTATCGTTTATCGTTATTTGTTTTATTTATATTTTCAAATCTTGTTCCAACTCTATTGTTGTATCAACTTTCTTATAATCTCACAATTTATTTGTGTTGTTGACGGCGTCTTAACAGTTCTTTCTGGTTTTTAGAGATCCCCATCTCTATCCATTTTTCACCCGTTCCACTTAGTAGAACTTCACGCCTAACTCTTAATAAATTTTAATATGCACCTGGTAATTATTATTAATAATAAAACATATTATAAAATAAAGAAAATTGTTAATTTTGGGGCGACTGGGATCAAATTAAAAAAAATAGAACAATACATACCCGATCAACATAAAGAGCTCCAATAAATGCCTCCAGTAAATCAGCTCGGTCTTTTGTTTTTAGTTCGGGTTTTGGATTACTGTACAATGCGTATTGCGCCATTCCCAAATCATCACATACGACAGCTTGAGTTCTGTTATTAACCAAAGAACTTCGTAGTAACTAAAACAAATTTGTCCTTTTAGAGCTAAACAAGAACCTCCTGGATGCAAGAGAACTATAGGCCCAATGTCTTATCCTCTTGCTACTATATATTAACTCTTGGAGATTATGATTAGAAATCGCTTGGATTGATAGCTAGCAGTGTTGCCACAAGCTCTTTCTTTATTGGGGCAGATTATGGCAAGATAGCGGGGTAGAATAGAATCAGTGCGGAGTAGCAACAAAAATTTCACCTACGAGCGTGCAAAAACTAGCATTTTACCGCACACTATGCGGTAAAGTTACTTTACCGTATAGTCTGCGTTAAAATAACCTGCAAAGTGTGCGGTATTTACTTCACCGCATAGTGTGCAGTAAAGCAGACTGCTTGCTTTGCTAATGATATAGCTAAAATTTTATAACACATGGGTTTTTGACGCTGTTAGGTAAATAACTATAATCTTTTCACATATTTTTCTGCATCAATCACCATACAAATTTAAAGGAGACACTCAAAGGAATCACTAACTGAAGTTATATCTGAGGCTTAGACAAAAAAACTGAAAAAACTCGTTGCATAGGTACAGTTCAGATAAAATAAATTGTTTCTCACAATTTGGATTTTGTAAGTATTTTTAATTAGCGATAAGCAGAAGCATTCTTTTTGTGTTATAGCACATAGATTGTATTTAGAGCGGGGTAGATTTAGTTAGGGGGAGCGGAAGGGCAAGATTGTTTTCAAAAGGGGTAGATCTACCCCAAACGGGGTAGCTTTGGCAACACTGCTGGCTAGGAAGTAGTAGAGTTAAGCAAAGGAATGGGGACAAGTAACAATATTGCGTCACTAAAAACTGATCTTGGTTTGAATTTTAATTTAAATTAAACGATGTCAGTGTTGGACATCAAATCGGCTTATGATGGGATAAATATTGACGTACCCGTCAAACTGTCAAACCCAATACATATTTAGGCTGGTCATTTGTACTTGCTACTGTAGTATAACATACCCAGGTTCGCTCAGTAAAATTGAACGATGAGAATTTTTATTACCTTTCAAACAACAAATATTCTGAAAAACGAAATGAAAAACAAATAGGACCTACATTGTGGAAACTTACTCAATTTTACTTACTGAACATGCGCCCGACATAGCAAATATTTGGGAAATTTAAGGAAAGTTGTGATATGCAAAAGAAACGAAAATTTGTGAAACGTCTCCTTTATTTTCAAAGAAAAAACGTACCGTTCTCGACCTGGAACTAAAGAGGGGAAAGAGCACGGTAGAGAAACCCTCGGTCTAACATTCCTCAAAAATCGAAACATACTGTGTCATTTTAATAATAATTGTGAGTCAATAATTCAATAATTTAAGTCAATAAAAGTCTAAATTAGATACCGCTCCTGTTCTTGTGCTAAAATTTCAATTACACACACTACATTCAATCCACACTACCTATATTCAATACTGAAGAGTTTTGGTTAGTTAACCGGTCTGCCGGAAGGTACTGAGGTCCCATACGGGATGCTACCCAGCTATAGTTGTTTTTGAGCCAATATCTCTAGATGGATTTTTCTCAATTTGCTAGGATATTCTCTCGTCAGGGTAGGAAAATGTTAGTAAATTCAACAAGGCCCTAATGCACGTTCTGAATACACAAAATCGACATCTCAGCACAAAAAGACAGCACATAATTTCTTAGGTTTTAATTTACCCTTTATCTGTGTTGTTTACAGCATGAAACGATTTTGGTTAAATACATAAACAATGCACATGTTATAAAAAATTGTTATAAACAAACAAAAAAACATAAAAATTGGAAAAAACATAATACTTGCGTAAATTGAACTCTCAAAAACAAAATAATAATTATTTTACTGACCTGGTGATCGCTCCTTGACACACACACTAATAATAAATTGGATTGAACAATTAATTTTAATGCAAAATAGGAATGAAAATTGAATAATGAATAATTACAGACACGCTTTTAAAGAAACCAGTCTGTTCTCCAGTCTAGCGTCTAGTTGCCTATTTTCTTCTACCTTCCCTTCGTAGTACGGCTCGAACGTGGTCCCCTAAATTTGATTGCGCGCTCTTCTTCTCATGAATCCCACTGAGCAATACATGGTTGCAACATCTACTTTTATTCAGTAAACATTTTTTTAAAAAAGTTAAGATTTGAAGAAATAATATTTTAAATAGGTGGTTTTCCTCACTACCTGCTCGAAAAATCAGGAAGATCTGCTAGGAGCTGCTATTTATGAGCTTATTATATGGGAGTTATGGGACAAGTGAACGCCAATCAGCTGGAGATCTGCTTGAAGCAAGAAAAGCAGTACAAGTGAACAACCTTATTAGATAGGTAATAATTATCAAACACTATTATCCTCGGGAAAACATAATGGGTCTTAGGAGTGATCAACCCTGACAACTTCAGTGCTTTCACAAGGGACACTTAGAATACCTACTCTTTTTTAATTGTTTGGATTTGCTAAATTTGTTGCCAAAAGAGGTACATCTTATGGGTGATTTGGTAATTTTCAGCAAGGGGATTAGGGGATAAACATACAACTACTATAACAGAAATACAACTTTGCCCTGGGAAAAATTCGTGAGTTGCTAAAACAAGTGAGGAAAACCACCTATTTAAAATATTATTTCTTCAAATCTTAACTTCTTTAAAAAAATGTTTACTGAATAAAAGTAGATGTTGCAACCATGTATTTCTCAGTGGAATTCATGAGAAGAAGAGCGCGCCATCAAATTTAGGGGACCGCGTTCGAGCCGTACTGCGAACGAGAGACAGAGAGAATACGCAACTAGACTACAGAACAAGCAGGGACTGGTCCCTTAAGAGACGCGTGCATGTAATTATTCATTGTTCAATTTTTATTTTCATTTTGTAATAAACTAATTGTTCAATCCAATTTGTTATTAGTGTGCTGCCCTCCTAAGAATAAACGCCGTATGTTTAACAATTTCGGATATCGAGTTTTTGTTGCCAAAAATTTTCTTTTGCTTTAACTTAGCTGTCTGCCACATATGAACGCCGTATCTTAACTAGAACTATTTAAAACTATACACAAAAAACCTGCCGTATGTTCCTATTACCAATTTGTGCCAAATATGAATGCGGTATCTAGGCTCTACCAATAATAAAGGCGGTAAAAATACTGGCTGCTTGCGAACTTACCGCGTTTATCTAAAGTATGTGAATAATGCCGCGTTTTTCTTTGGTATTGACGAATTGCGATGTCACTTTCTTGCAGGATTAGACTCGCTTTTCATTTTTCGGTAAATTAGATGCATTTGAGGTGTGAATGGCTCATTATTATTGTAGTTCAATTGTCTGTTTTCAGTGTTCTTTGCTGTCTATTATTTGTTAATGTGAAAAAAATATATAGATTTCTTAGGTAAGTACTAATTTTTATTTTCATAATAGTTCATAGTTTTTTTTTTATCAGTGAAATTTTGGTACCTGACTTATTAATTATGATTTATTGGAAATGTGGGAAATCAAAAAACTTATTTTATTCCAGAAAATGAGTTTCCGAAATCGGACAAGTTTGATACTTGAGTTGGCTTCCAAGAAGTTTCAAGAGCTATCGTCAGAAAATTATGATGATGATGATGATGATGAACCAGTTTTGAATCCTTTATCACCAGTGCCCATGGCAGATTTTGCTAATAGTAGTTATAGTAGTAGTTGCTGCGGAATCCAACCGAATGAGTTATCGTACACACCTTTAGAAAACATGTTTCATAACGATAGTTTGATGGAATCAGCACCCATGCTTACATGCCAGCCACGAGAGTCTTTTTCACAAAATTGTTCTGGAAATACAGATATACCAGACGACCTTGTACCTGTCCAAACGGCAGTAGCTGCTCCAACACACCAATTTCTGATTCCCCTAAAAACATCCTGTACAATTTCAAATAACCATATTTCCTACGCCCAAATTCAAACCGAATGCTCGACCGAAGCTGAGGCAAACGTTTCTATTATGATGGACCTAGATAATTTTACGAGGGATGATATTACCCCGAATATCGTTGGTGGTAATGATGATTTGAATCAAATAGAAAATTGTGCCGCGCAGAAAACATTTGAATTAAATGGTACAGATACAATTACTGCTGATATTCAAGAAATGGAGGAAAGTAGTGATGAAGAGGATAACATGCCACTTAGCAAGTTGATTGGATCAGGAAAGATAATAAATATTGAGAAGTCAAATTATACGAAAAAAGGTACTATTAGGAAAAGGAAGAAACCAAGAACTACCGAAGAATTATATGAAGACAAAGAAAAGCGACAAAAATCTATAATAGAGAAGCACCAAGTACGGCCTGGATGTAATACAAATAAATGCAGGAAAAAATGTGTCTCAATTTTTTCAGAAACTGAACGAAGTGATATAAATAAGCACTTTTGGCAACTTACGAGTCAAGAAAGGAAGAGTTATATACTAAGTTCTTGTGAGCGCTTAACAGTAAAAAAACGTCGTCATTGTGAAGACACTCCCAGAAAAAACAATACTTTTAAATATCACTTTAAAACAAAAAATGATGAGCGACGAGAAATATGTAAAGTCTTTTTTTTAACAACGTTGGGATTTCAAAAAAACAATGATAGGATTGTTCATGACACACTTTCAAAAACTCCTAGAGGTCAATATCTTCCACTTCCAAACATGCGCGGAAGGGCAAAAAATAAATACAAAATTGATGATACAGTGATCAACGAACATATAGAATCATTCAACCCGAGCATTTCACACTATAGGCGTGAACATGCTCCTAATCGAAGGTACCTTCCGAGCGACATATCGATTTCTAACATGCATGAAGATTTTGTTTCTAAACATCCAGATCTAAAAGTGTCATATGAATCCTATAGAGTTAAAGTAAGAGCAAAGAACATTTCCTTTGCAAAACTAGGCAACGAGGAATGTGAAATGTGCGAGGAAGCCAAACTACATGAGCACACAAAAGATAATTTTCAAGTAAATTGTGA